TGCTTCCCCAACTCCTGTGGCCACCACTGCCACCACCACTGTGACCCCACCTGCCACAACTCAGGGGACATCTGCCTCGTCCACAGTCCAAGCCGTCACCACAACTGTGACCTCTGTATCGGCCATCACTTCTGCATCCCCAACTCCTGTGGCCACTACTTCCACCACCACCATGAACTCACCTGCCACGACTCAGGGAAACTCTGCCTCGACCACTGTCCCAGCCAGCACCACCGCTGTGACCTCCGTCTCCGACACTACTTCTGTTTCGCCAGCTCCTATGGCCACGACTGCCATTAGCACTGTGACCTCAACGGTCACAATTCAGGGGACCTCTGCTAGGACCACTGTCCCACCCAGTACCATGGCTGTGACCTCTGCCTCCACCACCACTACTGCTTCCCCAGCTCCTGTAGCCACCACTGCCACCACCACTGTGACCCCAACTGCCACAACTCAGGGGACATCTGCCTCGTCCACAGTCCAAGTCGTCACCACCACTGTGACCTCACCTGCCACCACTCTAGGGACATCCTCCTCGGCTACTGTCCCAGACACAACCACAGGTGCAACCTCTGCCTCTGCCACCACTTCTGCTTCCCCAACTCCTTTGGCCACCACTGCCACCACTACTGTGACCCCACCTCCCTCGTCCACAGTCCAAGCCGTCACCACAACTGCGACGTCTGCATCGGCCATCACTTCTCCATCCACAACTCAGGGAAACTCTGCCTTGTCCACTGTCCCAGCCAGCACCACCACTGTGACCTCTGTCTCTGACACTACTTCTGTTTCGCCAGCTCCTGTGGCCACAACTGCCATTACCACTGTGACCTCAACTGCCACAATGCAAGGGCCCTCTTCCACATCCACTGTCCGAGCCAGTACCACAGGGGTGACCTCTGACTCTGCCACCAGTCCTGTGGCCATCACTGCCAGCACCACCGTGACCTCACCTGGCATAACTCAGGGGACCTCGACCTCTTCCACTGTCCCAGCCATAACCATAGGGTTGACCTCTGCCTCCGCCACCACTGCTGCTTCCCCGACTCCTGAGGCCACCACTTCCACCACCACCGTGACCTCACCTGTAACGATTCAGGGGACCTCTTCCGAAGCCCCTGTCCCAGCCAGTACCACGGTGACTTCTACCTCCACC